ATCTCCTACATAGAGCCCCCCTCTGAGTGGTTGGCAGTGGTAGCTGAGCACCATCTAGTTCTTCTGGTCTCATAGTCATATAGGCTGAGGATTGCGTGGTGTTCCAGTCGCTTGGACTAATTGTTGCCATCCATCTTTGGTTTTCTTCATTCTTCTTTACTTTGGAAAAGGAGAGACCCATCGTTGCATCTAGATGGCTACTTGCAAGCTTTTAAAATCCTAATCGCTACTCGCTGAAGTAGGAAGTGGAGCAGTGTTTTTGTGTAGTATGTTATGCCAACTGAGCTTGATGTACCCTGTGATCAAGGTCCTGAGCCACAGCAGGTTCAAACATCTGAAGTTGCTTTATTTAGGTCTGTGAGACCTTGTCTATTCAAGGAACAATTGGCATTGTATTAAAATAAAAACAACCTCCAGCCAGAAGGGCAATGTAAGTTTAAGCTGTCATATGGAAAGGTTTTCATTTGTGTGTGTGTGTGTGTGTATAACCTGATATGTATTTATTCTTTAATTCAGCATGTGTTTTTTAAGCCCCCATGTGCTAATATCAGGCCCATATCAGTTGCCATCAAGTCTGTTCCGATTCTTGGAGACCTCAGGTATGTCAGAGTAAAACTGTGTTTCATTGGGTTTCCAGTGGCTGATTTTTAAGAAGTAGATCACCAAGCCATTCTTCTAAGGTGCCTCTGGGTATACACGAACCACCAACCTTTTGATTAACAGTGGAGAACATTAACTATTTGCACTGTCCAGGGATTTAATTCCAATGCTAGATGCTTTCTATATAAGGAAGAATAAAATGTGATCATTATCATTCCTATAAAGTCCAAAATTCTCTGCACTCTTCACTGCTCTTCATAATTGATGAATAATGTGGCTCATTTTTTTTTTTATAGTCTTTTTCCTCTTGGACTCTGCCAGATTCAAATCGTTGACCACTCTGACCTTAACTGGGTGCCAGGAAGTGGGCTAGGTACAGAGAATATTCAAGATAGACAAGATTTCTGATCTTGAATTATTAACCAATCAACTCGAAGCGGCTATTTATTTAAAAACCTAAAAAAGTTTATCTCGTCTCTGAAGGAAAGATGATAATAACAAACAAAATAATAATCACTATTATGATGAAGGAAGATATCTGATATAAAATGTATAAAACAAGAGTAGATCATAGTAGCTATCTAGTGAAAATTAATTCTCTCCAACTTTGACATTTTAAAAGTATCTTTTTGGCAGTTATAGCTAAATACAAATGGAACCTGGGTTATCCTTCTTGAACATGGGGTATTACAAGCACCAAAAGAAAGTTTTATCCATTGTACTGTTTAATGGACACCAACTAATTTAAGAACAAAAAATAATTGCAGTTCTGATTCTTGGAGACCCTCTATGTGTCAGAGTAGAACTGTGCTCTGAAGGGTTTTCTATTGCTTTATAGAAAAATCTTAATGACTCAGCTATTTCCTTTCTCATCCACAAGAATTTAATTTTGATTACTTTGTGTTACTTGCTTGAGTTTTATTTAGAAAGAGAAACAAAACTTCGTGAGATATAAAATGTTTCTGTATATGTAGATGATAGTGAGGAGGTCTTTATGGCAAGACCTGTAAATTATTTCTGCCTTGGTCTAAACTGTATCCAGATGGGTGTGTGGAAACATTTTCCTGGGATGTATGAGAAGCGTGTGAGAAGCATATGAATCCTATCAAGTTCTAAAACATGAGGTTTGGATTGTGGACACTGTGGTGAAATTGAGTAGCGAGAAAAAATGGGGAAGTTACAGATGAATCTGTAACAAAGTTTGTGGGGGGATAAAACTAAAAAAGAGTTTTTTGTAAAGCAGACATTTAAAGAAATTAACAGAAATTGTATTTTATGCTTGCAGAATGCCTTGAGAAAATGATTGGCTTTGGTTCAAGAATCAAAATGAGTTAATAAGAAACAGCAGCAATACTATTTTTGTTTCACATCATATTTTAGCTAATGGAGCAGAGCTGAAGTATTTAGAAAGATGACAGATTTGCTTATAAAATGTACTGGTCTAAAATAAAAGAAACCAAAACCAAACTCACTGCCATCAAGTTGATTCCAACTCATAGCTACCCCCATTGGGTTTCCGAGGCTGCAAATCTTTACTGAAGTAGATAGCCCCATCTTCCTTCTGCAGAGCAGCTGGTGGGTTTGAACTGCTGACCTTCTGGTTAGCAGCCACAATGGCTTATCCACTATACTACCATCCTTTCCAAAAACAATAAAGCTGAAAAAAAAAGTTTTGTTTGATTCTTACATTTATTGTCCTTTCACCCTTTCTAACGGAATGTCTTCTCTGCCATTTATTACTGGATTATACCAGTACGGTACTTACAACAGAAATGACCTGTATTTAATAATCTTCTGGACCATTGGTCCTCAAATTTTAATGTACACGTTAATCACATGGGATCTGACTTTCACTTTCTGATTCAGTTGGGTGATGGAGGCCTGATTCTGCATTTCAAACAAGCTCCCAGGAGGAACTGATGGTGCTGGTTTAGGACCATACTTTGGACAGAAAGGTTTTAAAGATGATTTAATTTAATTCATCTGCTGGGGGGGGGGGGGGAAGAAAAAATCTCACTTTTTCCCTTTCAGCTTTCTGAGAAGCAAAGGAATGTAATTTCAGAATATTTCACATTGATGATATTAAAATTGTCATCCAGTGGATTCGTTGATGATGTTGCTAATGTTGTTAGGTGCCAGTGAGTCAATTCTTACTCAATGACTCCTTGTGACAGGAGTAGAACTACCCCAGAGAATTTTCTTTGCTGTAATCTTCGTGGAAGCACATCACCAGGTTTTTCTCTCTTGGAGCCACTGGGTACATTCAAGTCACCAAACTTTTGGTTTAATTTTTGGTTTAATAATTTTAGCAATGCTTAACCATTTGTGCCATCAGGGAACCTTTGATTGATGATATGAGTTAATAAGACTGAGCTGGAGCCCTCAAGTGTGTCCTGACCACTTGTGTAAAATAGCACGCCCTTATCGTTTTCGCTTGTCTGGTTGGTACTTGTCACTGTTGTTAATTGCCATTGGCTCAACTCTGACTCATGGTGACCTTACATGTAACAGAACAAACAGTTATCCAGTCTTGCTCTGTCTTTGTGATCATTGGCGTATTTGAGTCCATTAATGTAGTTAGTCCCTTTAATTGAGGGTTTCCGTGTTTTAGCTGACCCTCTACTTTACCGAATACAGTGTTCTTTTCTAGTGATTGATCTTTCCTGATGACTTTTCCAGAGTAGCTGAGGGGGAAATTTTACCACCATTGATTTTAAAGAGCATTCTGGTTATATTTCTTCTAAGATTGATCTCTTCATTCTTCTGGCAGTCCAGGCAGTCCAGAGTATATTCAATATTCTTTGCCAACACCACACTTAGAATGCATCAATTCTTCTTCTACCTTCCCTTTTTTATTACCTGACACCAAATCTCTATTTATTTGTTTATTATCTATTTCTCCTTCTAGAATATAAGCTCTCTGAAGGGAAGGACATGGTTTATTTTCTTTGTGTCCTACCCCTAATCCCTATAATTGTGTCTGACAATATTGTAGAGAGTGAAGATTTCTTGACTGATTGTTGACTAAGCTATAGTTTCTAAATTTCTATTTGCTAATATATAGAAACCTTACTGATTTTTGTATATTGCTATTTTATCCAGCAACCTGTCCTCTATACTAACAATTTTTTTGGCCTCTTTTGTTTACTGAGGAGTGCTTAAAAGGGTGATGGACACAGTAAGGTAATCAATACAGATTAACTGAGTGAATGAGCTCTCTTGAATATTTATGCTTATTAAGCTTAAGTATGCTTACATACTTACTAATTTTTTTACCTTATTTATATTTTGTCTGTTCATTTATATCTAAGAAATTTTTTCCTACCCCAAAGTAACAAAGATATTTGATGTTTTTATCTAGGCGATGCGTAGTATTGGCCTTTATGTTTACATTTATGAGCAGTATTGAATTAATTTCTGTGTATGGACAGAGGTCAATATTGACATTCTTTTATCCCCCCCTCTCTACCCGGATATCCAGTTATTGCAGCACCATTTGTTAAAATGGTTTTCCCCACTGAATGTGTTTGGTACCTTGGATGAAAAATCAACTGACCATATATATGTTAGGTCCTTTTTCGGTCTTTCTCTTCTATTCCACTGATCTACTTGTTTATCTTTATACCTGCAGCACAATATCTTGAATAGCTGCAAGTTTTTTGAAAGGCCAACTTTTTATTTTTTTATTTTTATTGTGATTTGGGTGAAAGTTTACAGAGCAAATTCGTTTTCCTTACAGCAGTTCACACACATTTTGTCTCATGGCATTGACTGCAGTCCCCACAATGTAACAGCTCTTTCCACTTCCTCCCTGTAGTTACCTCTTCCCTGTATCCTTCCTTCCTATGTATTCCTGGCCCCTGAGCTATCTCCCTATGCAAATACTGCCCTTTTGTTCTCCCATGATTGATGTTCTAAGGAATGTATCTACCTGGTGTAAATGTTCACCCTATATGCCTGTCTGTTGTTTGGCTGGAAGCCACAGGAGTGAGTTCAATTCCAGGCCTGAAGCCTAACTAGGGGCCATGGTCTTGGGGGTTTCACTTGGCTCTATCAGACCAGTAAGCCTGGTCTTTTTTTCTAATTTTGAGTTTTGTTCTACTTTGTTCTCCTACTCTATCCAAGATCTCCAAATATGATCCCTTTCTGAGTGGTTGGTAGTGGTAGTTAGGCATCATCTAGTTCTTCCGCTCTTAGCGTTGTGCAGGCTGATGTTCTCATGGTCTACTAGTCCCTTGGACTAATTGTTTCTATGTATCTTTGATTTTTTTTCACTCTTCTTTGCTCCAGATGAGGAAAGACCAGTAGTTGCATCTTAGATGGTGGTTTGCCAACTTTTAAGACCTAAGTCACTACTCACCAAAGTAGGATGTAGAACAGTGTTTTTGTTTAGTATGTTATGCTAATTGAGCTTGATGCCCCCTGCAACCATGATCCCGAGCCCACAGGTCCAATAAATCATTCCATCAGGGTGGTTGACTGTGGCTAAGAAGTTATCATAACTTTGTCCACTGTTAGTTCTATTTGTATGGATATTCTTAAGATCACATGCAAATATTTATGTACAAATATCATCTGCAAACCTTAAATATGTTCATGGGTATATTCCCTTTTGTAAAAGGCCAAGTCCTAAAAGCATTTATTTAGCACCTATGTGTTTCAAATACCTTATATATGATGATCCTGTGAGATAAGTACTATTGCCTATCATGGCAGAGTTGCAGAATATAAGACAAATTGAATAGGTCACATTATTATAGCTTAAAAGTGGCAAGAAATGAAATTTTAACACTATCCTGTATTATTGCAAATTCTATCATTTTTGTACGTTTCCATTCCAAAGAAACATGATCCAACATAATTTAGGCATTATTAAACCATATCATTAATATCACACTAAAAGTTTAATTAAAAAATTGTGGTAGCAGTATATTGACAAAGAACTACCAGCAATTCAAGCTGAATTCAGAAGAGGATGTAGAATAAGGGATATCATTGCTAATGTTAAATGGGTTTTGACTGAAAGCAGAGAATACCAGAAAGATGTTTACCTGTATTTTATTGACTATGAAAAGGCATTCAATTGTGTGGGTCATAACAAATTAGGAACAGCATTGTGAAGAATAAGAATTCCAGAACACTTAATTATGCTTATGTGGAATCTGTACATAGAGCAAGAGGCAGTTATTTGAACAGAACAAGGGACTACTTCATGGTTTAAAATCAGAAAATGTGCCTGTCAGGGTATTTGTTCAGTCTTTATGTAGAGCAAATAATGTGAGAAGCTGGACTATATGAAGAAGATTGCCACATCAAGATTAGAGGAAGACTCATTAACAACCTGTGATATGCGGGTACAACTTTGCTTGCTAAAGATTACACCTCAACGTAAAGAAGACAAAAATCTTCATACCTGGACCAATAAGCAACATCATAAGCAGAGAAAATATTGAAATTGTCAAGGATCTCATTTTATTTGGATTCACAGTCAATGCCCATGGAAGCAGAAGTTGAGAAATCAGTGTTTTTGCATTGGTCAAATCTGTTGCAAAAGACCCCTTTAAAGTGTTAAGATGCAAAGCTGTCACTTTGAGGACTGAGGTGCACCTGACCCAAGCCATGGTCTTTTCAGTTGCCTCATATGCATGTGAAAGCTGGATAATGAATAAGGAAGATTGAAGAAGTGATGCATTTGAATTATGATGTTGACAAAGAATACAGAATATATCATGGACTGCCAGAAGATTGAATAAATCTGTCTTGGAAGAAGTACAGCTAGAATGCTTTTTAGAAGTGAGGATGGCAAGACTTCACTCTGTATACTTTGGGCATGTTACCAGGAAGGACCCATCCCTGTAGAAGGATATCATGCTTGGTGAAGCATAAGGTAAACTAAAAAGAGGAAGATCCTCAACTCAACAAGAAGGATTAACAGTGGCTGCAACAGTCAGCTCAAATATAGAAATGACTGTGAGGATATTGGAGAAACTGGCAGTGTTTTGTTCTGTAGTACATAGGGTAGCTATGTGTCAGAACCAACTCAAAGATACCTAATGACAACAACAGAATGAACTACACATGCCTTTGCATGACATTAAGGTCTTTTTGTCCCATTTAATCTCATAAAATTAGCCCATCATCCTGCTCCAGTTACAGCTCTTAATGGTTTCTTAGAGGTACACTATGTTCTGAGGAAACTCAACATCTCATGTGTTTCTAAATAAGTTCTACTCTTTTCTGCACATGTGCCTTTGTCACCATATATTCTCAGGCCACCATCTCTTTTCCTTAAACTTATCTACTGTTTACATTTCTGTTGTTGTTAGATGCTGTTGAGTCAGCTCTGACTCATAGTGACCCTGTGAACAACAGAATGAAAGAATGCCCAATCCTGTGCCATCCTCACAGTCTTTGCCATGCTTGACCCTATTGTGGCAGCTACTGTGTCAATCTAACTAGGGATCTTCCCCTTTCTTTGTGACCTTCTGCTTTACCAAGCATGATATCCTTCTACAGGGATTGGTCCTTTCTTACAACATGTCCAATGTATGAGAGACAAAGTCTGGCTGTTCTCACTTCTAAGCAACATTCTGGCTGTACTTCTTCCAAAACAGATTTGTTCGTTCTTCTGGCCATCCATGGTGTTTTCAGTATTCTTCACCAACACCACAATTCAAAGGCAACAGTCCTCTACAGTCTTCCTTATTCACTGTCTAGCTTTTTCACATGTGTTTGAGGTGATTGAAAATACCATGGCTTAAGTCAGGTCTTCAAAGTGAAATCTTTGCTTTTCAACACTTTAACAAAGTCTTTTGCAGCACATTTGCCCAGTGTAATAAGTCATCTTATTTCTTGACTGCTGCTTTCATGAGCACTGATTGTGTATCCAAGTACAATGAAATCCCTGACAATTTCAATCTTTTCTTCATTTATCATGATATTGCTTATTGGTTTGGTTGTAAAGACTTTTGTTTGTTATGTTGAGGTGTAATCCATATTGATGTTCATCAGCAAGTGCTTCAAGTCATGTTCACTTTCAGCCAGCAAGGTTATGTCATCTGCATATCACAGGTTGTGTGGAGCCTTCCTCCAATCCTGATGCTACATTCTTCTTCATATACTCCAGTTTCTTGGATTATTTACATTTACATTTTGACCTCAAAAACTCTCTCCATCAAGCTATTACTGAGCCCTATGATTAGATGTAGGAGCTCTGGTAGCATAGTACGTAAGGCACTTGACTGCTAACCAAAAGGCTAGAGGTTCAAACCTACCTGTCACTCCTTAGAAGGAAGGTTGGGCAATCTACTTCCATAGTGACACTGCCTTGGAAGCCCAAGGAGGGGTCGCTATGGGTCAGGTCCAACTCAGTGGCACATAACAACAAAACATAATTAGATGTTATGTCTTAGCCTTTCTATTTTTATACCAATTCTTTGTTCTAATTAACACAATAATTTGCCTTATAGTGTTCTCTATTTTTTTGCCCAATTTTTTCCACTAGAAAGAAAAGCTCCTGGAGGCAGTGTATTGCTTTTGTTTCTCTTGAATAGATATTCAGCAAATTTGGTGAAAGGAATTTTTTGAAGAAGCCAAAGGATATTGTGGTCCATGTAACAGTTTTTAAAAAAAAAAAAAAAAAAAGTGAACAGTGATTCAGGATACTCGGAAAATTCTATAAATTTAATTCCTCTAAGATATTTATTTATTTTTTTATTCTTCCAATTTAGAACTTTCCAGTTGGAGGAGTCTCAGAACTGTAGCAGAGATTTTGTGGAGATCCGGGAAGGAAATGCCACGGGCCACTTGGTGGGACGATACTGTGGCCACATCCTCCTTCTGAATTATTCGTCCATTTTTGGGCATATTCTGTGGGTCAGATTTGTCTCGGATAGTTCGGGCAGTGATACAGGCTTCCAGGCCACGTTTGTTAACGGTAAGTTGGTTCTCTTTTTTAGTGATAGCCTCCAGATTGTGTCCTACAAATGGAAAATGATAACTAAGTTTTCAGTAATGCACTAAGGAAGAACTATCCTTTATTGTAAATGTTTCTCCTATATTTACTGTCTGTGTAGAATTATTTTATTATAAAATATATCAGGAAAATTAAATTTTATCTGAGTAACTCATTAAAATCAAGGACAAGAGCATTCTGTATGGTTCAAATATTCTTTTTAAGCTCTAGTTTCTACCTCATGTTATATTCGTTTTATAAATGATGTTTTGTTAAAGAGTTTTCTAGTGTATTTAGTTTGGGATTTGGTGTTTTCATAGAAACAAAATGTCCTATTTAATCCCATAGATTTAAATAACTAATTCTTCTAATTACAGACATTTAGTATAATTTTGAGATTGAGTCACAAAAGAATGGGATATTCTTCTAATGGCATAAAATGCTAAGTATTTTTATTTGTTATTTAAGTTTTTCTATAATTAGCTATTGTATAGGTGGGACTAAACTATTCTTTTGTATCTTATAGAATTTTTAAATACATATTTCATTTGTAAAACAAAGTAAACTAGGTAAATGAAAGTCAGGGAATGAAGTGGGGTAACACTCCCCTTCTCGTGCCTCAAGTCCCCTGGGATTTTGGAACCTGTTTCACATGGGAAGCCATTGCCTTTTTTCACACCATGCAACATTCTGAGGATAGAGTATGCCATTCACAAAATCACACTTCTCCAGGGAATTGTAGATACCACAGAAGCCAAAAGGGAAGCAGTATTTCTTTCAGTGTTCTGGACAGAAATAACAGTTAATTAAAAGTCCATCTTTTCAGCATCCCTTGCCTTTTTTTTCTACATTTGATTAAGTAGGTCTGACTTACTACTCTGTTTTCTCTCCTAGTATTTGGCAATGACAATATTGTGGGAGATCATGGGAAAATCGCCTCTCCCTTATGGCCTGAAAATTACCCCCATAATTCCAATTACCAATGGATAGTAAATGTGAATGCCTCTCAAGTTATCCATGGTAGAATCTTGGAGATGAACATTGAAGCAGCACAAAATTGCTATTATGACAAATTAGGGGTGAGTTTCCACGTGCAATCAGTGTTTGTAAGTTATGGTGAATTACCGTTGGCAAAAATAAATTTAAGTTAATGTCTACTCATGTATTTGTAAATTGTCTGGAACAGTTTGTCCTAAATTGTGATTTCCTATTCAAGCTTGCATTTTTAAAAAAGCTAATTCTGGTGTTATTTTTATCATTGTCAATTCTATATTTATTAAGAATTTTTGGCATTGTTTTTTATCTGTTAGGCTTTGTCTAAGCATTAATATAGATCTTAAAATCAAAATCCCATTGCTGTCTCATTGATTCTGACTCATAATAACCCTGGAGGACAGGGTACAACTACACTATAGGGCTTTCAGTCTTTAAAAAAGCAGACTGCTAGAGTTCCGGCAAGATGGCAGACTAGGCAGAAGGACTGCACAGACGCTCTTCAACAAAGAAAAGGGAAACTACTTAACACAGACACAGAAGATAATCTTGGACACCTGAGCCTTGAAGGGAAGGATACAAAAGTGGACTAAACCCCAACTAGCAGAAGAATTTGCGTGAAAATACCAAAAAAGGAGAGACATGGAGCTGCAGTAAT